CAACACTGAGGGTTGCGATCCCATTACCGGTGACGAAAAAAGACAAAAAAAGAAAAAAAAAAAAAAAAGAAACTGAGATCATATTTATTTTTAGTCACAGCAGAAAGTAAGTAAACTAACGTTTCCATACTCCAATACACATAAAAATCACTAAATCACTGAGAAGCAAATGTGCTGAAAAAAAGAAAAAGGACATCAACTTCAAACTGCTTCCTGTTTATTGTTCCAATCTTTGCTTCATTAATATACACACACCCAAACACACCCTCTCTAGCTTGCCAAACTTCTGGATAAATCTCACAGGAAACAATGAGAGCTCTCAACCCAGAGCTATCAGTATACTTTTGATGATTTCCTAGGGAAAAAGAGAATACACAATGATGGAGTTTGGATGTGTTGTCTCCACCAAAACTCATGTGGAAATCTGATCCCCATTGTGGAGGTGTTGGAAACTGATTGAGTCATGGGGGTGGATCCCTCATGAATGCATCCCTCCCTAGGTGGGGGGAGTAATGAGTGAGTTCTCACTCTATTAGTTCCTGCAAGAACTTGCTGTTTAAAAGACCCTGGCACCTCCTCTCTCTCTTTTGCTTCCTCTCTCTTGCTTCTTCTCACCATGTGATCTGCTTGTACCTTCTGGCTCCTGCCACTTTCCGCCATGAGTAGCAGCAGCCTGAGACTGGTGCCAGATGCAGCTGTCCCAGAATCATAAGCCAAATAAACCTCTTTTCCTTATAAATTACCCAGTCTCAGGTATTCCTGTTATAGCAACACAAAACAGACTAATACGGAAAATTCGTGCCAGAGAAGTGGGGTGTTGCTATACAGACACCTGAAAATGTGGATGCAGCTTTGGAACTGGGTGTTGGGCAAAGGTTGGAGGAGTTTGGAGGACTCAGAAGAAAAGAAAAAGAAGACGGAAAATTTGGAATGTCTTAGAGACTGGTTACGTGGTGGCGAGCAGAATGCTGACAGAAATTTGGACTATAAAGACCATTCTAAGGAGGTCTCAGATAGAAATAAGGAGAAATTTTTCAGAAACTGGGGCAAAGATCACCCTTTCTGTGAACTGGCAAAGAACTTGGCTGCATTGTGTCCCTGCCCTAGGACTTTGTGGAAGTTGGAACTTAGGAGTTGTGAACCAAAGTATCTGGCAGAAGAAATTTTTTTTTTTTTTTAGATGACCGGTAAGGGGATCTCAACCCTTGGCTTGGTGTTGTCAGCACCATACTCAGTCAGTGAGCCAACCGGCCACCCCTATATAGGATCCAAACCCACGGCCTTGGTGTTATCAGCACTGCACTCTCCCATATGAGCCATGGGCTGGCCCTAGCAGAAGAAATTTCTAAGCAGCAAAGCATTAAAGAAGCTGCATTGCTACTCGTAACAGCCTATACAGAGTTATGGCAGCAAAAGCATGACATAAAGCCAGAATTTAAAAGGGAAGCAGAGTGTAAAGGTTTAGAAACTTTGCAGCCTAGCCATGTGATAGAGAAGCAGAGAGCATGCAATGGTGCAGCCCAGCAACCACTGGTTAAGAAGATAAGTACAAAGGAAAGGGATTATAAAGAGGTGAAAAAGGCCCTGAAGGCAATGCAGAAGCCTCTGGGGCCAGCCCTTCCATTTCAGGCCAAAAGGCCTAGGTAGACAAAATGGTCTTGGAGAACAGGCCTGAGGCACCCTCCACAGGCTCACTGCTCAGGACCACCTCAGGAACTGGCTTCAAGCACCAGCACCCCAGCTGCTTTGGCTACTCCAGCTATGGCTAAATTGGCCCCAGGTGTGGCTGGACGTGCAGCTTTGGAATATACAAGCCAGAAGCCTTGGCAGTATGAATGTGGTGTTAGGTCTGCAGGTATGCAGACTGCTAGAGCTGTGGAGGCTTAGGAGCCTCCACCTCAATTTTGGAGGATGTATGGAAAAGTCTGGAGGCCCAGGAAGAGATCTATCACAGGGGCAGAGTCACCGCAGACAGCCTTTGCTAGAGCAATGCCAAATGGAAACGTGGGGTCTGAGTTGCAGCAGAGAAACCCCATCAGTGTCATGCCCAGTGGAGCTGTGAGAGAGGGACCACCATGGAGACCCCAGACCTGTGGAGATACCAGAGTGGAACCCCAGCCTGGGAGAGCTGAAGTGTGGCTTGCAACCAGGAAAGCCATAGGAGTGGTGCTGCCAGAGGACTTGGGGACCCAACCCCCATACGAGCATACAGAGGACATTGAACATGGAATCAGGTTACAAGATTCACCAGCTTTGAGATTTAATGCCTGCCCTGCTGTGGTTTGGACTTGTTTGTGACCTGTTACACTTTTCTTTTGGCCTATTTCTCCCTTTTGGAATGGGAATATGTATGTACCCTATGTTTGTCCCACCATCGTATCTTGGAAGTAGATAACTTGTTTCGAATTTCTCAGAGTAGACTTTGAACTTTGGACTTTTGAGTTGAAACAAGTTAAGACTTTGGGAATGAAATGAATATATTTGCATGTAAAAAGGACATGAGTTTTGGGGGGCCAGGGGTGGAATGTAGTGGATTGAATTATGTCCCCCAAAACTATTGAAGCTTGAATTGTATTCCCCAAGTTTTATGTATTAGAAACTTAGCCCCGACTGTGACTGTTAACAGGATGGGAAATCCTATTATGATAATTGTAAGGTGGAGCCTTACAAGAGGTGATTGGATTGTAGGACCGTGCAGTAGTGAATGTATTAAAAACGGTGGTCAGGGGCATGGTTCTGAAGGCTTTAAAAGAAGAGGAGCGTCTGTCTTTCACTCTCTCTGCTTCCACCCTCTTGCAATGTGAGACCGCTGGGTCACTGTTGCCACCACCAGATGAATTTTGGACTTCCCAGCCTCAGAAACTGTAAGCAATAAATAAATGTCATTTTTCTTTTTTTTTTTTTTTTTGTCTTTTTCGTGACCGGTAAGGGGATCGCAACCCTTGGTGTGGTGTCACCTGCACCGCACTCAGCCAGTGAGCGCACCAGCCATTCCTATATAGGATCCGAACCCCTGGTGGGAGCGTCGCTGCGCTCCCAGCCCCGCACTCTCCCGAGTGCGCCACGGGGCCAGCCCCAATGTCATTTTTCTTTATAATCACCCAGTTTCAGGTATTTTGTTATAAGCAACACAAAACGGACTAATACACACATCTCACAAAAATGAGCACACCTAAAGAGCTAAACTCTGTCAAAAACAAGTCCAACTTGATAGTGAATTGCAAAGCACTTAGAGTATACTCATATAAAGCCTAAGAACAAAAGGCTAATTCATTAAAAAAAAAAAAACTAATAGAGAACAATACCCTCGGATGAACATATCTGGTCTGACATTACACATTAAGATCATTTAGACTAAGTACCAATGGCTTTCCTAATTTCTCTTAATTTTTAGTAATTCACATTCAATTCTACAAATAATCTGTTTCAGCACACCACCCATCTCTGGAGGGACTGGTAGGACCATGCAGTTGCAAAAGTCTAGGAGGTGTTACGTTCACATGTATTACATATGAATGACACTCTTGTGCAAACTCTACAGGATGCAATGGGACTGGAGGCACCTGGAGTAGTGTGACCACTGGTTCTGTGAAGCAGAATGAATTATGGTATCTCTGCAATGCCTCATATCAATGACAAACAAGTGAAAGCAATAACAGGACTATGGGCTGACTAGTTAGCTTAGCTGGCTAGAGAGTACTGTTATAACACCAAGTCAAGGGTTCAGGTCCCTGCACCAGCCAGCTGCCAACAAAACAAACAAAAATAAACAAAAAAATATAACAAGACTAAATGTTATTAGGAAGTTATACAGCAAAATCCATGTGTGTACTTCTTAGAGAGCTCTTTAAAAGAAAGACAAATGAGATATAAGATATATACCTTCATTACCACCCCCATGATAGGCAGGTGTAACGTTTTCCCTGGTACTGGGGCAGGCCATCGATCAACATCATTACAAGCTGAAAAATGGAACAAAACATTTCCTTAGTATAAGCAGCAATATTAAAGTATTAAAAATGGGGCATTAAAAATTAGAACTCTACTTTCTACACAGCAGGAAAAATATACTGAGAATAGAAGACAAAAGTAAAAGAAAAATAGAAGTGATGAAAATATCTTATACTTCACTCAGAAATACACATAGGTTCTAGGATATAGATTAGTTAATAAAATTTTTAAAAGCAACAAATTAATAAGGTTAAAGGGAGTTTTCATGTATTACTACTAAAATTAGCTACAAAAGCACACCACCTGGCAGTGCATCTGTACTGAGTGACATAAGGATTTCTTTCTGTTCAATAGTACTCTATTAGAGCTGTCAACTCAAAATTCACTATTATCTTAATAAATAAGCATCACCTGTATGATTAGAAGAGATAAAAGACACAGTTTTTGGTTTTTTTTAGATAGAGATGCCAAATAGTTTTATATCTCTCTCCCATCATATATCCTTAAATTGTTATCTGATTTCTTAGAACTCAACTTCATTTTTATCACACATTTCCAGTAAAATTTTTAAAACTCCTTCAATGTTTTAAAACTCCTTTAAAACTCATCCAATGTTTAACTTACCCGCTTCCAAATAAGGTTCACTCTTCTCAAAATACTCAGGTGCTATCTGTTTGAGCACAGTATGAAAAAAATGAATATAAGGTAGTTTGCTGATTAAAACCAATGACTGGGGAAAAAAAGAAACAATGTTTTGTTAATTGCTTAGTAATTATAATTTAAGTTTGCCTGTCATTTCTTACATGAGCAATTACTAACGAGCTAAATTCAGTGAAAAGTGTGGATTTAGAAATATAAAGGCTTTTACAGTGAATGGTTAAAAGGAAACATAAAACCTAGCTACAGAATGCAAAAAGCTTAATCTTGTTACTAGACTTTAAGAGCATAAAGGCATATTCACAGATTCTCCTGCTGTTCAGGAAAAAGAATTTCCTATAAACAGACTAATGTTGGGGGCCGGCCCGTGGCTCACTTGGGAGAGTGTGGTGCTGATAACACCAAGGCCACGGGTTCGGATCCCTACATAGGGATGGCCAGTTAGCTCACTTGGGAGAGTGTGGTGCTGACAACACCAAGTCAAGGGTTAAGATGCCTTTATCGGTCATCTTTAAAAAAAAAAAAAAAAAAAACAGACTAATGTCATGGACAATTTCCAAAGTCCTACAACTGTTGTCCTTAGCATGGCAATATCAGGAATTAGTTTTTCTGGGAGGGCATGGTGCTGATAACACTGAGGTCAGGGTTTGGCTTCCCATACCAGCCAGCTGCCAAAAAAAAAAGGAATTAGCAATATTAAAAAATTGCTCTTCCAATTAAGGAAAGAGCAAATTGTGATGGTTTTGCAAAAGACCTATGACTATTACATTCTACAGTTTAACTGTCATAGCCACATACTCAGAAACTGTGATATTATAATTTGATCACTTCTGATATAGAATATGCTGATCTTTTTTTTTTTTTTAATGTATTTTTTCTTGAAAACCACTCTACCTTTCCATCCAGCATCAGTCAGTGGTCTGGGCAAATTCGGGTTACAAAGGAGAAAGGTGTGTACTGCTAGCTGGGATAAAACGGGTTAGACTGATTTTTTTTTTTTAAGAATGAAAAATATTGTACATTTAGAATAAAAACAATAATGGCTAAGACGTTGCTAAAGTTTATTTACTGGCTCTCCAAAAAACTGCAGGCTTTTATTAGTTGTAACAATATTACAATTGCCTTATTCTTTCCCTTATTCTAAAATAACAAGGTCAAGCAGACTCTTTTGGCTTTTGACAGTTCCATACAATAACTGTGACTTACTGTCAGGAATCTAGCATAGAGATAGCAAAAATTCAAAAGCAGTTAAAAATCTAAGGACGTGTCTATAATCTAAACAACAAAAATAAAATACACACTCTAGTATGTTTAAAGATAAAATACCAGAGACTTTAAGTGCTGGCCTGTTAACTCAGTCAGTCAGAATGAGGCCTTGTAACACTAAGGTCAAGGGTTCAGATTCCTGTACTGGCCCAGCTGCCAAAAAAAAAAAAAAATCTACACACTTTAAAGACAGTTAAATCTCACAGTTTCTATTTTTCTAATTCAATAAAAAAAAATACTTTTTTACTAGTGTATAATAAAATTACCTTCTGAAAGTAGCCTCTTTTTAGAGTTTTATCTCGAACTTGTCGGAAATACACATATCCGTAAAAATAAGCAGGATCCTTCTATGAAAGAAGTGACAAATAAATATATATATAAACAGAGAGCCATTCTTTAATATCATCAGGTTCCTTTATAACCCAAACCAAGATATGAGGCATACACAAAGAGTAAGTTATGCTTTTCTACCAACAAACAATAATCATGACGGCAAATGCCAGATAACCTGCTAACTTGCCCAAAGAAGAAATAATCATAATCTAAGTAATAAAGTAAAATTTCCCCCTATATAACTTATTCAGATTATGTTCTTTATTCATATCTATACTAGTTAACTGAAGTTAAGAAACAATCAAATTCTATGTTTTCACTACTGCTGTATTTAGTTTTTCAAAAATTCTCCCTACAATTTTCAGTTTATCAAGGCTAAGGGGTACAAAGTCTTTTTTTAAAAAATGGAATGTCCAGGGGCCAGCCCGGTGGCGCACTGCACTAGTGCACCGCTTGGGAGGTGCGGCGGCGCTCCCGCCGAGGGTTCGGATCCCACATACAGACCGGTTC